GAGCCAAAGACAAATATCCAATGACACGAGCTGCAGTTGGCAAGTTTAAACTTAACACTCACCTTCAGAACTGGTAAGAGCCTTCATCCAAACCTCTCATTTCATAGATAAGGAAATCCAGCGTGGAGTATTTAAGTACTTTGCCCTAAAATCTGGCTTTTTCTCGGAGCCTATCACACCACAATCTTACCTGACCAGCCTAGCCAAAAACCTGGGAGTCACGCCTCCTTGGTACCTCCTGCTCCCTCACTCCCCAAATCCAATGATGGTCAAGTCCTGTAGGGACTCTCAAACTTGACCTCTACTTACCACTGCCCTAATCCAAGCCATCATGTCCTCTCCCTCTACTGACTGCAGTGGCCCCTAACTAGACTCACTCTGATTCCCAGCAGGGGTGTGGGAGTGGGCTGAAGAGTCAGGGGTGGGGTGTGGGGAGCTGGAGTGTTTGGAGATGTGTAAGTGTATGGGGCGGGGCAGGGTGGGTGGGTGTATTTGCCCCAATAACTGGTGGGCTTTCCCAGCATTTAGTGGGCAAGGGCCAGGGATGTTATACGTCCTGCAGTCTTGTACAGCCGAGAATTAACCCACTCAAAACACCAACTGTGTGTCCCATCCCTAACTGTTGAAAACACTGGTCCAAGACATTTTCCCCAGGGCAGCCAGAATGACATTTTTATAAACACAATTCCAACTGTGTCACAGCCCCATCAACCTTCTGATGGCATTCCACTGCTCTTGGGATAAAGATAAAAGTCCCTAACTTGGCCTATTTTTCCAACCATGAAGGGCCTGGAAGACTCAGCGAGTTTGGATTTTGTTCTAACTACAAATGAGGTGTCTGTAAGAGGGACAAGAAGAGAAGCAGGAAAAACCAATCAGGAGGCTACAGCAGGAGTCCAGGCCAGAGAGGACCCAGTTTGGTCCACTGTAGAAAGGGTAGAAATGGTGAGAACAGCTGAGAGCCAGGATTTATTTGCTGAGCCAACAGGACTTGCTGATGAATTGAATATGGCCAGAAGGGAAAGAGAAGAATCAAAGACCTTAGGATTTGGGGTCTGAGGGACTTGGTGAATGGTGGGGCCATTAAATGAGATGGGAATAATAGCTTTGCGGGAGTGGGCAGATGTGGAATTCAAGAGTTCTGTTTTGACGTGTTCAACGTGAGATGCATTAATTGTTCAGATCCATATGGCAAAAGCCCCCAGCACTGAAACATGTTTCTTTCAGTCTAATTCAAGGCTCTTTTCCTAGTGGCTCTCAAAGTGCAGCCCCCAGATTATCAGCAGCAGTATCGCTTGGGAACTTCTTAGGAGCTCAACTTCTCGGGTCCCCCTTAGACCTATTGAATCAGAAGCTCTGGTGGTGGGGCCTGGTAATCTATATTTTAAGAAGCCCTTCAGGGGACTCACTGAAATTTGAGAGCCATTGCTCAAAATCATACTCCTCACTGCTAAAAGACACCTGAATTATAGCTATCATTTTCATCATAGCTAATATTATTGAGTACCTCCGCTGTACTTTCTATGCATTATCTCATTTAACCCTCATAACAGCCTTACGGGGTAGTCACTCTGTCCCCATTGTACAGGTGAGAAGACTGAGGCACAGAGGTTAAGTAACTTGCCCAAGGTCATACAGCTATAAAGTGGCAGAGCTGGGATTTGAACCCAAGCAGTCAGGTTCCAGAGCCTTCACTTTTTTTTTTTTTTTAATTTGAAGAATAATTGACAAACATTGTCAAAGTTTAAGGTGTACAATGTGTTGGCTTGATATATTTATATATTGCAACTTATTCCCACCAAAGTGTTAGCTACCACCTCCATCACATCACATAATTATAATTTCTTTTTTCTGGTGAGAACAATTAAGATCTGGTCTCCTAGCAACTTTGAAGTTTATAATACAGCGTTGTTGACTATACTCACTGTGCTGTGCATTAGATCTCCAGGACTTACTTATCTATTAGCTGCAAGTTTCCAAAGCCTCCTATCTTCCCAGGCATCCATACAAGGACCATTTGATGTATTAAGTACATAGGGCTCTATGTACAGGTATAACTGAGAGAACTTAAAAAGATGTTTAATTCCATCAAATTACCATATGACCCAGCATTCCACGCCTACATATACTGAAAAGAATGGAAAACATACATCCACACAAAAACCTTCACATGAATTTCATAGTATTCAGAATAGCCAAAAAGTGGAAACAACATAAATGTCCATCAACTGATGAATGAATAAACAAAATGAGGCATGGCCATATAATGGAATGTTATTTAGCCATAATAAGGAATAAAATACTGATACATGGTACAACATGGATGAGCCTGAAAACATTAGGCTTAATAAAGGAATCCAGAAAAGGCCTCATATCACATTGTTCCGTTTATAAGAAATGTCCAGAATAGGTAAATCTATAGAAACAGGCAGATTAGTGGTTGCCAGGGGCTGAGGGGGATGCGGAAGGATGGAGAGTGATTACTAATGGATATGAGGTTTCTTTATGGGATGATAAAAACGTTCTGAAATTAGTGGTGATGGTTGTACAAAACCATCATATTCTAGATGAATAAATATACTAAATACCACTGAATCGTGGGTGAATTATATCTCAATAAAGCTGTTGTTTTAAAAAAGGATGTTTAATTCATTGTGAACTTGGGCTATTTTACTAAATAAAACTCCTATTTGTCATTCAGGTTGCTGGATCATGATCAAAGAAACTGAAAGTAATCTGTCACTGCTTTGAATTTTCACCTTTCAGTTTGCAAAGAAAAGTAAACTAGTTTCACTTCTAGGCTGCAAAGAGCCTAAACACAGTTGTCTATGTCGTTTCCCCACCCAGAAGAAAAGTGTTTCTTCATGAAAATGGGAAGAGTACAAATGCAAAAATTCTATTCTTGAGAAAATGCCCTAACATTTTCCTTAAATCAAAGCACTTACTATCTAAAAATCATTTTCTCCCATAACCAGGGGCTCCTGGAGGCTTCCCTGCTAAAAGTACATAACTAAACAATATTTCCCTTCAACAAGCAAGGTACTAAAAACTACTATCAATCATGGCAACACTTTGATGTCTTAAGATAAACAATGAACATAAATACCTAGAACCCGGGGAAGGGTCTGAGTAAATGTTTACGTGCTCTAAGAATAACAGCAGCACTAATTGCTAGTATATATTGAGCAACCATAATGTACAAATAAACACTGTCCTTGGTTCTTTACAAATAGGATGTTTAATTTGGTCCTCACGTAGCCCTGAGGAAAGTATTTTTATCCTCATTTCATAGGTAAGGAAACTGAGGCTTAGAGAGATTGGACAAATCATTTGTCCTTGATCACTCAGGTTAGAGGGTCCAAATAGTAGCCCAAGTCTTTCTGAACTCAAATGGTCTCTCTTCTATCCCTCTATATTCCTCTTCAAAATGAAAAAGGAAGCCAGAAACTTTAGAAAACTGAAAAGACTCCTCTTCCTATCTTGCAAAAGTAGTGCCTTGAGAAAAGGTGACTGTTCCTATAGTCCAAAATAGGAAATACAGAAAACGGAAGATTGTTATTACAATAAAACGTGTAGTCAGTAGGCACAAAAGACCATGCCATGGCCCACATCTCCTCTGCTTCCTGATTTAACTGCTTTCCCATTGATTCTCATTACAACCTTAGGATGTCAAAATTTAATGAACTCACTATGGAAAACCCCAGAGAACAACAGTTAATGAGACTGGAGAGCTCACTAGACCAGGAAGGAAAAGGAATAGGTTGGCAGGAAGTGGTGCTTATCTAAAAACAGAGAAGTCTTTAGCATTGATATTAACACTGTAATTCCACAGCACTTTAATCTGAACCTATCTCTGCATTCCCTTGCATTATTTTAATACTGTGTTACTAGAAGCTGATTCCCACCATTTTCCATGTCTAATAGGATCCTAAATAAATCTGCTATATAGCCACCACTGACCCTCCTTTCTCTCTTGCTATTAAAAAAAAAAAAGTCACAAGTTCAACGGATTATCTCAGAAGGAAAAGACCTGAATCAATGAGGAAAGGTAACATGTGGGCACAACCAAATATGAATTTCATCACCAAGTGGACTGTGGCTTATATTCATGACTGAAACATACACTCCTTATACTTCTCAGGACTCTGCCCCCCAAAAATTGAAACTGTAAACCAACAGCAGATTGATGGATGTACAATTGCTAAGGGTCTCAACATACACCAAAAAGGGGAAAAAAAAAAAAGTAGCTTAGAAGGTCTGCTTTCCAACCCATCAACTGAAGAACGATGTGCATTTTCACACACAAAAAATTACAACACAGAGGTGTGGGGGGTGGGGGAAAGTAAGGGGTTACCCGGGGTTTAATAAATCCTTAGAAAAGGCTAAAGAAATAACCTCAATTCTTGGGTCACCCTGTAATCATTCCTAATGGGGAAAGGCCAGCCGAAGATAAAGTAAGGTCGGGCTTGAGAATTTTCCTCACTTCTCCTGTCCCCCTGCAGACGGTCCCAAGCTCCCAGCAGAACCTTGTTGGAATCCAGGAAAGAGATTCCTACGTGCTGAGCTGGGGAGCAAGGAAAGGGGCCATCCTTGCCCAAACAACCACCTGTGCGTGGGGGAGACCCCCAAGAGGGAGTTCTGTTTAAAGTGAGAAGCAGTTCTAGGGCTGGCCCTCCTAGCCCAGGACGGACACAGGCTACTCATCCCACTCCACTGCCTTTTACACCCGGACTCCGGCCACCTCCCGGCTGAAGGCAGCCCCTCCAGAGCCCTCCACCCCCAGACCCCGGTCGGCTCCCACACCCAGCCATCCCCAAAGCTCGCTGCCTGCTCCTCAGCCTGACAGCGGCCCTGCCGCCACTACGCAGCCCCAGCTTCCCCAGCCCCGGTGGCCCAAACCAGCCTGTGGGGTCGGGGGCGCCCCAGGCCCGCGAGATTTAGGGCTTAGGATCGGGAAGGGCTTGGTCCAATCCCCTCTTCCTCTCAGCTCCTGGGCTCACCTCCCCGGCAGCTTGGCGCTCCTCTTCCAAAACTGCTTGCTGTTCTCGGCGGCCATTGCTCTGGCCCGGGGCAGGCCTTGTAGGCGGGCCAGGGGGTACCCGGCGAGATGCCCCCAGGACCCCACAATCGGAGGGCCGACCCAGGCCGCTTCCCCCGCTGCCGGTCACCAGCTCCTAGCTCCTGGGAGCGCCATCTTGGATGTGGGCACCTCCCCACCCAGAGCCGCTGCCATTGGTGGACTCCCAGGCCGTGGTCGGACGAACCAATCAGGAGCCGGAATCCTGCAAGCCACTGAAGCCGAACGGGAACGTCAGGGGCTGGGCACACAGGTGGACCGGTAAGGCGGAGCTTGGACCAGCAGGGAGGCGGGGCTGAAAGTTCCTTAACCTCGAGAGGGGAAGAAGCAGGTAAAAGACCTATGGGAAGAGGATAGGGTACAGTTTTCTTTGGGGGGAATGAGGTTCTTGAGTCTAATGTTTTTTGGAAACAGAGAGCCTATGTATTTATTTCTATACATAAATCTTGACCTGAAAATAAGGGCCCATGTGTTGTTTGCAGCCCATTTAAAAATCTCCCACCCAGCTCAATGACACTGTGGTTATTACCCTCCGTTTCCTTTTCCGTTTGGACCCCTATTTTTTTTTTAAATCTGTCAAGAAAGATCAATATGGATCCGACAGCCCATGGTTGCCAACTGTTCAACACGTGAGTAACGGTTGATTCATAGAATCTCGCTCTCCTCTGTTAATTGAACGCTATTGAAGGACTTGTGCTGTGGATGAAGTTCAAATGATCTAATCCGTTTCAACCAATAACTGTCACTTTCTGACTACGAGAACTCAGATGCTGACAAAGTAGGAAATGTTCTTATTTTATTCATTCAATTTAGACTACCAAGTAACGTTTCTTGTAAGAACATAGTATATCTCCATGGCATGAATCACAAAGATTAAGGATACACCCCCAAACAGACTTAATTTCTCTGATTAATCTGTTATAAGTCATTCACCCTTGACTTTGTTTTCAACCCAGTTTTGACTCAGAATGAGATTTAATGTGAGCATTTGGAATCGTTTGATTGTCTTGTTGGTGTTTTTTGCTCTTTTTGGGTTTCTGTGGTTGTACACCACAGTGATTAGGGGGTGGGCAGAAAGGACCCACCAGTCAGAATAGTTTCTATCCCAACAAAGGATTGTTGAGGGACCTTGTTGTCCCCCACCCCCACTGCTGTTTACTGCTACCACATGTCTTTCCACATATTGGAGGATACTTAGGGACCCCCTGTCTAAAGAAGGACCTTGTTTTATATGCCCTCCAATGGCCTCTTTCTACATAGACATTACCCCCATTTTCAAGCTTCTTTTGCCCCCTAATTTCACAATCATGAGATAATATTAAAAGAGCTATTTTTACGTTTTCTGGACCTTTCATGCTTTTATAGACTTTCATCTTGTCTCAAGTAGTCACTTTTATGGGCATTTAACCCACCAAACAAAAGCCCCTCTTATCCGTTTAGTCTTACCTTTTAAACGTTTTAACTGCCTTTCTTTGGCTGTTGTTGTTTTTTTGTTGTTGTTTTTTCCTTAGGATACAGTGACCAGCACTGCACACTGAGCTCCAAGAGGGGTTTCCTGAGGTTTTAGTGAAGCTGATGTTATGTCTTTATTGTAGACAGGCAGAACTTTCGCTGTCATTTTGGACTTTACAAAAGCTGATATCTTGAAGAAATAATCTATAGCGACTTCTAGATCCCTTTCTTTATATGCTTAGTTATAAAACTTCTGTTCAGGTAGACTTCAGATGGTTCTCCAGGTTGATGGTTGTATAATTTAGTTGTAATTTTAATGTGTTCATGGGAGGAGGCAGACATAGTGTTTATCTACTCTGCCATCCTGGGTCCTTCCTGGTAATCCTCTCTCCCTTTTTAAAAAATGCAATATTTATAATTTATTAATTGTGGTAAATACACATAACAAAATTTACCATTGTAACCATTTTTACAGAGTTCAGTAGTGTCTTACTTACATTCTCATTGTTAGGCAAAAGCTCTTCAGCACTCTTTTCATCTGGCAAAACTGAAACTCTATACCCATTAAACCACAGCTCCCCATCTCCTTCTCTCCCCAGCCCCTGGCAACCATCATTCTACTTTCTGTCTCTATGAATTGACTACTCTAAGTACCTCATATAAGTTGGACCAAAAAGTATTTGTCTTTTTTGACTGGTTTCTCCACTTGGCGCAATGTTCTCAAGGTTCATCCATATTGTAGCATGGTTGAAAGTTTCCTTTCTTTTTAAGGCTGTGGAATATCCCATTATATGTGTATACCACATTTTATCCATTCATCTGTTGATGGACACTTGGGTTCCTTCTACCTTTTGGCTATGAATATTGTTGTACAAATATCTCACGGAGAACCTGCTCTCAATTCTTTGGGGTATATACCCAGAAGTGGAGTTGTTGCATTCTATGATAATTCTATTTTTAAGTTTTTGAGGAACTTCCATACTGGTTTTCACCACAGCAGTACTTTTTTTACATCCCCAAAAGTTCCAATTTCTCCATATCCTCCTCAGAACTTATTTTCTTTTCTTGATAGTAGCCTTCCTAATGTGTTTGAGGTGATAGCTCATTGTGTTTTTTATGTGCATTTCCCTAATGCTTAGGATGTTGAGCATCTTTTCATGTGCTCATTAGTCATTTGTTTATCTTTTTTTTGAGAAATGTCTATTCGAGTCCTTAGCTCATTTTTCAATGAAGTTGTTTTTGTTTTTCTTGAGTTGTAGAAGTTCTTTATATATTCTGAATATTAACACTTATGATATATTTGATTTGCAAATATTTTCTCCTGTTCTATGGGTTGCTTTTTCACTCTATTGATTGTGTCCTTTGATGCACAGAAGTTTTTTATTTTGATGTGCTTCAATTTGCATATTTTTTCTTTTTATTATTTGTTGTTGTTGTTGCCTATGCTTTCGATTTCATTGCCAAATCCAATGTCATGAAGCTTTTTCTCTATATTTTCTTCTAAGAGTTTTATAGTTTTAACTCTTACTTTAGGTCTTTCACCCATTTTGAGTTAATTTTATATGTAGTGTAAGGTAAGGATCAAACTTCATTCTTTTGCATATGGATATGCGGTTATCCCAGCACCATTTTTTGAAGACTGTCTGTCCTCTCCCCCATTGAATGGTCCTGTCAGTCTTGTTGAAAACTTTTTCACCATATGGATTAGTCTGCTTAAGCTACCATAACAAAACAGCACAGACTGGGTGGTTTAAATAGCAGACATTTATTCTCTCACAGTTCTGAAGGCTAGAAATCCAGGATCAAGGTGCCAGCAAATTCAGTTTCTAGTGAGAGCTGATAAGATGGCAGCTCTAATGACAGAGGAGGGAATCCAAGAAGACCTCAAACTACTGTCTTCCCTCCCTCACAGAGCAATCCTAAATCAGGAGTGTCACTAAGATAGAAGCAGACAATTGTCCCAGAGCCCTGGCCCAGAGATTTTGGCTGGGGCACAGGAGAAGTAGGCCATAAAACAGATAGTTTGCAATATCTTCCCAAAGGAACTGGCTTCATTTACAACAGAACATGGAGAAGTTCAAGCCTAAAGGCACTCTAAAAAAAAGTAGCGAAGGTTGAAGGTTGTGGCAAAAGGCAGTTGGGAGGAGATGTGTTGATCCAATGAAGATACAGGCTAAGCTGTAGGCCAGCTAGTTTTCAGGGGAGAACTGGGGGGAAGAAACAACTGGAAGAAGCCCTCCTGGAAACAACAAATATCAAACACTGACTTTTGGAACTATTTCTTCAAAGGAGTCCGAATTTGATTGGATTAGTCTGTAGAGCAGTTTATGCCAGGACGTTATTGAAAACAACAGAGCAATCAGCCAGGAATCACTGACCTTAACAGTGGGGGTGTGGTCAGGAAAAGAGGGAAAGGAGCTCTGCCAAGCCCACTGGCATCCTAGAGTGACTGTGGTCATACCCGAAACTGCACCTCCAGAGAAGCAACATCAGAGCCTTCACACTGTGCAATGTTGGGTTTGGGAGATGGGTGGGATATAATTTACTAAATTAATCCAGCCATTTACTAAACAAGGCAACAAGTAAATAACAATAGCAAGCCTGGTGGAGGTTTGAGATGTCTCTGTACCCAAAATTGCTATAATATCTATCTAAAATACAGAATTTCTAACAAAAAAAAGTACAAGACATGGATAGAAACAGGAAAGGAAATATCACCCATACACCAGAAAAAAAGCAGGCAACAAAAACCGCCAGTGAGGGCCAGCCGAGTGGTTCAGTTGGTTAAGAGCTCACTCAAGAATGGGAGCTCTGAGCAACAGCAGTTCGATTCCGGGCCGAGCTGAGCAGCCGCTGAGCTCCCAACAGGTGGCAGGATGGCTCAGCTGGTGAAAGCACATGCTCCTAAGGATAAGTTTGCCTGTTCGAGATGGTGGGCTACGCCCGCCTGCAACTAAAGACTGACCTTAGCACCTTGAGTTGAGCTGCTGCCTGGAAGACCTGTGGATAGAGCGTGCGCTCTTAACAACAAGCCTGCTGGTTTGACTCCCACATGGGATGGTGGCTACACCCACCCGCAACTAATTGAACACAGCACCTTGAGCTGAGCAGCGCAACTGGACTTGGAGCTGAGCTAGCTGCGCCCCCCACTACTAAGATTGAAGGAAAACAACTTGGCTGTTCCTCCTCCCCCAGTCCCCCAACACTGTTCCCCTCCCCCAAATTCCCCAATAAAATCTTAATTAAAAAAAAGACTATTAAAAAAAAAGAAGCAAGTGGAAATTCTTGAGTTGAAAAGTACAATAACTGAAATGAGGAATTCACTAGAGAGGCTCAACAGTAGATTTGAACTGGCAGAAGAAAGAGTTAGTGAACTTGAAGGTGGATGACAGAGATTATGCAATCTAAAGAACAGAAGAAAAGATGAAGACAAATAAGCAGAGCCTCAGAGGGATATGGGACATTATTAAGCATACCAACCAAAACATGCATAGAGGTAGTGCTGGAAGGAGAGAAAGAAAGGAACAGAAAAAATATTTAAAGAAATAATGGCTGAAAACTTCCCAAATTTATTGAAAGACTCTACCTACATATAGTAAGCTGGACAAACTCCAAGTAGGATAAATACAAAGGATCCGCAAACAGACACTGCACAATAAAAGTGCTCAAGTCAAAAACAAGAAGAAAATGTAGAAAGCAGCAAGAGAAGAATGACTTGTCACTTATAAGGGAATCTTAATAATACTAATAGCTGATTTCTCAGCAAAAACAATGGTGGCCAGATGGCAGGATAACATATTGAAAGTACTTTCAAAAACCCACTGTTAACCAAGATTCCTATATCCAGCAAAGCTGTGTTTCTAAAACAAAGGCTCAGATTCTCTCTGAGTTCTACGTTGCTGGAGATGACTTCAGAGTAGATAGGTCTATTTGGATGTCCCAGGGGAACTCAGACCCACCATTTCCCAAGCTGTCCTCATCAGCACCTTCCCCACTCCCATCCTAAATGTGCTCCTGCCTCCAGGCTCCCCACCTCAGAGAATGGGCCCCCCTTGACCCAGGTGCTCATTCCAGACTCCTCCTCCCACAGCCCCAATCCCCAAATGCAAATGCCCCCTCCAACGTCCCTCTGTTACCTTGTTTCTCCCCATTTTCTTCAACAGCATCTCAACCTGCCTCCACTCTTGCCCCCGTTCTGACCCATGGTCCCGCCAGCAGCAAGAATATTTTTCTAAATGCAAATCAGATCGTGTCTCTCATATAGACACACATACTCTAAAGACCCTTCCAGGTCTCCAGTTGCCTTCCAGAGAAACTTACACGTAGCAGGTGGCAGGTAGGGTCCTTCCTTTTCTGGCCCCTGCCAAGCCTACCCCTCTGCTCAAGCCACACCAAACTTGCTGTTTCCAAAATGGATTTTACCTGTTTCTATGCTTCCCTGGATGTTGTCCACTTTGCTGGGGCTGAAGTTCCTCCCTTTCCTGCCCAGTCGACACTCACATCCTTCAAGACACAAGTTCAACGATTGCCTCCTCCAGAAACGCCTCTTCTGATTCTCATTCTGGATTAGATCTTGTTGTTACATTTGGAGGATGCTCACCACTTCCTCCACAGCACTGATCACGTTGCATAGTGATGTCTTTTCTTTTTCTTGAAAAGCCTATTTTTAAAAACATGTTTTTTACTTGTTCCTTTATTTGTCTAACTTCCACACTAGAATGTTTACCTGTGTATCTCTAGTACCGAGCTCAGTACCTGGTACAGAGCAGATGCTCAGTAGATGTTTGCAGAATGAGCACTGAATGAATAGAATATACCAGATGAACTCAACAGGAGGCAGAAAGAGGAGTTAGGTGGTCACTACAGTGACCCAGGAGGGAGGTGACAGGACCAAAACCAAGGCTGGGGCAGCTGGGATGCAGAAACAATGGGATTTATAAAGACATTGCCTTGAAATTGGCATACAGGCTTAAACCACAATATTAACCCTGTGTGGTTTGGGGCCCTGTTTTGGGTTGGTGCAGGAGAGCACCCAGGGGTGTGGCTGCTCTGTGAGCAGGGATGGGGTGAGGTTTAGTTGGTGGGGACAGGGCAGTGTCAGCACAGCTCTTCACCGCCAGCACACTGCCTCTCCCACCCCCACCCCCCTAGGACCCTTCAGGGCGTGGAGTGCAGCCAGAGGTCTGTGTGTCAAGGACTAAACTTTGGAGTCACACAGAGTTGGGAGGATAATGTGGAATAAGGTATGAGAATATTTGGGGGGAACCTTGAAAACATTATTCTCAATGAAATAAACCAGACACAAAAAGATAAATGCTGTGTGATTCTACCTCTAGGGGGTACTTAGAGTAGTCAAATTCATAGAGACAGAAAGTAAAATAGTGGTTCACGGGGCCATGGGGATCGGGGAATGGGAGTTAGTATTTGATGAGTACAAAGTTTTTCCTGGGGGACATAAAAATGTCTGGAGATGGGTGGTGGTAATTGTTGCACGATGTGAATGTACTTAATGCCATTGAATCGTACACTCAAAAAGGGTTAAATGGTAACATTTGTTATGTATATTTACCACAATAAGAAGATTGCTACTAATAAGATTGAACTCAGCACCTTGAGCTGAGCTGCCACCCGGATGTCTCAGTGGATAGAGGGTGTACTCTTAACAACAAGGCTGCTGGTTCGACTCCCGCATGAGATGGTGGCACTTAGAGATGAGATGGTTGAGCTTAGAGACCACGAGTTGCCGACGGGCAGCCAGATGGCGACTGGCACCCTCCACGATGAAGACTGAAGAACAACAACTTGGCTGGTCCCCTCTCCAATTCCCCAACACTATACCCCTCCCCCAGTTTCCCAATAAAATCTTAAAAAAAAAAAAAAAGGATTGCTACTGACAAAATCAAAAGAAAAGAATAGTTGAGATTGATAGAGTGAGTGAGGAGAAGGCCAGAGGCAGGTTGATGGCAGCCTGTCTGAGCTCTGACAGGTCTGAACAGGAGTCCTGATCAAAGTCACTTCAGAAAGAGGCCACGTCAGGCCTCCAGCCCTTGGAAGCACACCAGCTCGAGGACTGCATGTTCTCCTGGCGTATGATTCTCCCCCTTCCCTCTCCTCTCACAGTGGTAGCTCACCAGTGTGGTCAGTGAAGGAGGGGAGCTTTGCTCTGGAGTTCTCTGACTTGGGAGCCTGTAAGAAGGTGATTTGGGCTAGGAGGGATGTTTGCACTGGGGCCTGGCCTATCCCAGCCTTGGGCCCTCTGTAATAGACAAGCCCTGGGCAGGTGTGTCCTCATGGCCAGAGCCAGCCTCCAGAGTTCAGCTCTAACCTAGGTTGCAGCTGGAGGTCTGCCTGCTGGGTCTTCGCTTCTATGGTGGTGGCTTATTGTTAAAGCACCCTTGCCCTGGACAGAGAAGATGTTGGACCTATAAACCTTGCCCCATTCTATGCAATGCTGGCTGAATCCTGACCTGGGACAAGTCTGGGTCAGGCCCAGGGAGCGCAGCAGGGAAGTTCCCTTCCTGAGGGCTTGGAAGGAAAGACAGGGTGTCTGGGGAGGGTCGGGGTGATTCCAGGCTCCTGGGGAACCACGCTAGTTTTCTGACTCCCGACAGGCAAATATCCCAGAGAGGAGCCCAGGACTGACTCTTTCATTATTCCAGGTACACGAGCTTCCTGATTCCCACAGTCTGACGCCGACAGGAGCACCCTTTTTGCCCCCTTAAAGCACAGCTCCAGCTGGAGCAGCAGAGCTGGGAGTTTTGTGAGGAGCATCCCAGGTCAGTGGTGTCCTCATTCCCGATGATGTAATCACCTGAGCAAGGACCAGACCCCATGTCCCCATCTAGCCCATGGCCTGTCCACAGACCATTATTACTCTGAGCTCCCCCATTTATATCGAGTAGCTTAGGGAATTTGTCTGGGGCTGGCTCTGCCATCTTGTTATGTATCTCCATGAGTTTTTTGCTTTTGTTTTTGTTCTCTCTGCAGGAGACAGTGTGGTAAAACAAGTATAAAATGAATGACAAGATGTTCTGTCGTTTGGTGGGGATCTTCACCATCCTCAGCACCATCCAGTTCCTCATCTTTGACTTGAACGAGGTTGTAATCCTTGACGATGAGTCCCTGTTCAGCATCTACATGGAGGCAAAGCCTGGGATAAGCTCTTGGGTCCTCACTCACAAAAACAACATCAGGGCTGGCCTATCCACCATCACCATCATGGTCAGCTTCTTGCTCCTGTATTGCAGCCACACCAGCAACTACGTGGGGCTGCTGTGCTGTGCCCTGTGGATCGTCGCCTATGAGCTCACCAGCTTCTGCGTGGTCCTGCTCATCGACAGCAGCATCAAAGAGCATTTCAAGGAGCTCAGTTACCTGCACTTGGTCTTCCAAGTCTCCCGAATGCTCCTGTACGTCTTCTGTCTGCCCTTTATCATCAAGTATACGTACACCCTTTATAAGGACTCCACGACTTCAAGCAAGGTAGGCCGCCGCAAGCGCTCTCCATCAGTACAATCGACTACTCGTGGTCAAATGTCGGCTGGGAATGTTGTACCACAAGTTAAACTGAGCCGTGCCAGGAAGAAAGAGAGGGGGACAGTGCTCCCCAACAACAGAACCCTCGTTTCCTGTCTGCCTTCTGTTGATTCTGCTTGTCTTGGGGGTTCTTGAGTTTTATGCACATAAGAGTGATTCTTGGGGGTGGGAGGGTTGCACGGACTGATTACTGTGCGTGTGTGTGTCTGTGACTTGTTGTCCCATTGAATTATATACTGCCTCTGGGCTTGCTTAGCCATCTCATCAGTGTGTGCTGTTGTCTCTCACGGTCCCCTCCTCGGGGCATGTCCTGTTTCTAATTTTTCTCTAGTGAATTGATTGCCCACAACTGCCTGGTTCTGCTGTGTCCTTTCAGAGCAGTGCTGTGTGACAGAACTTTCTGTGCAGATAGAAATGTTCTGTCTCTGTGCTGACCGCTACCTACATATGTCCACTGAGCACTTGGAATGTGGCTATCACAACCCAGGAATTTGATTCCATTTTCACTTATTTCAATGTCAGTAGCCACATTCGGCTGGCTTGTGGCTACCACATGGACACACAGTACCATGGAGCCTCGTTTGACTTCTGCATGTCACCCCTGAAAGAACCCTTTTCCAGCATCATGCATGAGTGTGCCTCCCTTGTACTTTTCAGAAAGCAGTTCCTCATGTTGGTTCATACCACAGAAAGAAGAAAGCTCCAGAATTTCTCAATTTAAGCACATTAACATTTTGGACTGGATAATTCTGTCTTGTAGGGGGAGCTGTTCTGCACATGGTAGGATGTTTAGCAGCATCCTGGCCTCTGCCCACCAGATGCCACTAGCAACCCCCATCCTTGTGACAACCAAAAATATCTCATTGCCAAATGTTTCCTGGGGGGCACAATTGTCCCCAGTTGAGAATGATTATTTAAAGCAACGCACCTCAGTGCTGAGAGCTGGCGAATCACTACTGTTCACTAATGAGCAGCATCTTTTCCTGAGAGCTCCTTACATTCACCGCCTTGTGTGTTTGTTTTTTTAACTTTATTGGAGAACAATGTGTTTTTTCCAGGACCCATCAGTTCCAAGTCAAGTTGTTGTCCTTCAATCTTAGTGGTGGAGGGTGCAAGCTTAGCTCCAAGTACAGTCGCCGCTTTCAATCTAGTTGCAGGGCGAGGGGGGTGTTGGCGCAGCCCACCATTCCATGCGGAAGTCGAACCCACAACCTTGTTGTTAAGAGCACACGCTCTAACCAACTGAGTAACCCGGCCGCCAACTTGTATAGCTTTAATCCTGATGTTTCCATTTTATGGTTTGATGAAACTGAGACTCAAGATGCTTGAGTGATGCGATGAAGGTCACACAGTAGCAAAGGCAGGATTTGAATCCAGATCACCTGACTTCATACACGAATGTCCTACTTGGTTCCCTGAAGCACCCTTACTTTTACCAAGATAAAAAAGAGGGACCTCCTTTTAGTATATGTGCTGCTGAAGCGAGCACTAGAGGGACCTCCTTTTAGGATATTTCCTTTTCCTTCAGAAAATGTTGAGAGTGAAATCAAAGGACTCTGTTTTGACCACACTCCCCTAAATCTTCAGCATAATGACCGTAGCCCACTTCTACTGAACACTTAATAAGTGCCGGGTGCTATTCTAACAGTTCACGCAATTCTTCCCACCACCCTGTGAAGGGGAGTTGGATCCAGGCCAGTTCCCAAAATGACCACCAGATGGCAGTCAGCAATAAGCTTTTGCTTAGCGCTGTTTGCCGCATTCGCCGTATCCTCTAGGGATGGTTGGTTGGGATTTAGGGAGCCTCAAGCTGATGACTGAGGACTCTGTCGTGACGTTGTGACTTGTTGGTACCAGAAACAAATAAAACCTGAGCAGACCAGTGTTTTTCCCGATCCGCCATCCCAGCTGGGGTGGTGGTGGGGCGATTGTGAGGCTGGAGGCCTGTGAATAGAAGAGGTGGAGGAAGAAGCCGCGTTCCAAGAATCAGCTCAGCTGAGAGTTTCCTGATGCAGGAAAACGGAAGATGCTCAGATACAAGGCCTCGCGCTCCTTTACGCCAACACTTCTCGAAAGTGTTTGCACCTGCCTCCACTTCCTGGTTCCCATTCTCTCTAGAGCCCCTTTTACCCCACTGAGTCCTTTGATCTCCACGCTGCCCAATCCCATGTTCAGTCCTCCGCCTTCTCCTGCCAGACCTCTCAGTGGCTTCTGGCCAGCGGATCCCTCCCTGTCCTGCAAACAGTTTTCTCGTTTGGCCTGTGGAACACCAAGGCTGCCACTCTCCACCCTCCACCTGCCTTGCTGGCCTTCCCCCTCCATCACCTTTGCAGGCTCCTTCTCACCTCCCTGACCCCCAGCATTGCAGTGCGCGGGTTCAGTCGCTGGTCCCCTTCTCGCCTCTGTCTCTGTCACTCCCAGCTCTCCTCACCCAGGCCCATTGCGATAACCGCCATGTGACATCTCCCCTGAACTGGGCACCAGATCCAGTTGCTTCCGTGCTGTATAGCAGGTGCCTCTAACACGGTTCCCGACGACGCCGGCCCACTGATATTCACAGTCCTCGCCTCCCCTTAAATGTGGGCTGGACCCAGTGACCCTCTTCTAACAAAGAAAGCACAGCAAAAGTGATGGGATGTCACCTCCAAGATTAGGTTACAAAAAGATGAGAATTTGGTTGCAAAAGCTCATACTCTACTCTGAATTTACATTCAAACACTTCAAAAGTAACTCTATTGTCTGTCTTCAAAGTTCAGGAAAGGCCATTTTGGTTTTGTTTTTTTTTTCCACATTAAGAAAGGTACCATCCTTAGAATTATCTTTCATTGTCAATACAGAGGTTTCATGTGTTTGACTCAGGTTGGTTACAGAGAAGTTAGCAGTTACCACAGCAGATTTCAACTGACTGATCATTTTCAGTTAGAATGCCACAGTTTTTCCTTCCAACAATGTGTTCAACACCAGTCAAAAGTCTGAAAGTTTTCTTTGTCTCCTCAAAGCTGGACACACAGGCGTCAGAGCCCATGCTGGGCACTCACTAGGAGGGCCGCCACCCCACAGGGGCCACTGTCCAGGTGGAGCCCGTGGGGGCAGGGCCGACCTCAGGGCCCAGAGGACTGTCCCATGTACCACCCCCCTCCACCCCTGCACACCAGGACTCTTTCTTATAGGCACCCAGCCTTCCCCACAGCCGAGGGACTCTGATAAATAAACTGGCTTTGTTATTGCAACTGGATAAGGGTTTCTGAATACACTTGACCCAATATTGGTTCCTGTCCAGGGGACCTAGCAGTTTTTATACCAGTATATGTCAAGCAACACCTAATGTCTTGGTGA